AATCAGGATATGTCACCATTTGATCACCACTTGGTCCGGGAGACATCTCCCGTCACGCAGGGTGCAGTTGCGCCTCCACAGATCTCCAGTATCATCTTTTGATACTGGTAATGGCTCGAAAGGGCCACCACTTACGGGCTATTCATGCCCGTGCCACCTCTTGGGTGGCTTAATCTTCATCAATCATCAATCATCATCAGGATATGGATAGTGACCGGACCGCGGTTGTGAGCGGTCGCAGTGTTGGCTCTCTTGGCGTCCGCTGCTTGGTGGGAGGTGGAGTATTGCTCCACAATCTTCGTTTTTGCACGTTGCTGCTAGAGCTGGATATTGTGAATTTGTTCTCGATTGTTGACAGTGCCTTTGAGTGTCGAGGAAATGGCTGAGGCGGTATCCCTAAGTGATAGTGAGGGCAGACAAGATAATAACAGGCCGTTTGAAGTAGTAATGAGCTGAAATAAACGGCGAAATATTCACAAACAGTGAGAGTGAAGATGAAATAACAGAGACCAAAAAATGAAACGCTACTCAGCAGGACGCAAGAGAAGCAATTTAAAAGAAGGAAGAGGCTGTTGTTCCCTACAACATGCCAACTGAACTTCCACCAAAAGCTGGAGTGGACGGTACGTCTGGCTAAGGAGTGTTTGGAATATGAACCACTCTTCAAGGAGGGTCTTCGCCGGCCCTACATAACAGTTGGGACAGAAAAGGCCGTGGAACCCCTCACGACGGTTGGTTTTCAGAACATTGTGATGGTTACTCCGGAAGAAGGTATGGTGCACACAAAGATCATAGTTTTTAAGTATCCAACTTATTTGGATCCTGATTGTCTTCTTCTCAACAATGATAGTGTTGTATGGGTAAAGAGGAACAGTGTTCGTGGTGACAAACAAAGCCAGGTTGTTGCCTTGGTAAAGGGTCAGGCGCCGGAAAGAATTTTTGTGTAAAACTAGGCTACAGGAAAGTTGCAAAATACATTGAGGAGACCATATTATGCAAAAAGTGTTCACGTTGGGGACATATGGCATGGAAATGCCAGTTTGACCCCTGGTGTCGGTATTGTGGTAAGAAACACGACTCGCGAGAGTGTAGAGTCAAGATCGTAACAAGTGAAAAAATCGTCCGAGTTTGTTGCAACTGTCGAGGCAGCCACAATGATGGTTCTTATGTATGTCCCATGAAGCCTCATCTGAGAGAGACTAGGACGGGTCCTACAAGCAGGATAGATGTATCCTCGAAGGAAGGAAAGATTGTGCAAGAGGAAATCTGGCAAGACGTAAATAAAATAAGGGGTAAAAAGCATAATTTTGTTGCACATCCTGACCCGCAAGGAATTGCAAATGGTCTCGTAAATAAATGGGCGGAAGCTGCCAAATTTAGTTCATTACCCGCTGTAACGAGAGAGTCATTAGATTCTTGGAAAGATCTAATTAAGGATTTTATACTTACAGCAGGTAACAGTGGTGATGTCACTTGCACAGGTATTACCAGAGAAGAACTAATAACGGCGATTAAAGTTGGGAAATCTACCGCCCCTGGGGAGGATGGAGTAACTTATGAAATACTTAATGAACTTGCCATTATGACGAAAAGCCCACTTTTAGACCTCTTTAATATTAGTTATAAAGAGGTCAGTATTCCCAGTAAATGGAAAAAAGCTATGATCATCCCTATCCCTAAAGTCAATGGAGAGTACAGACCTGTGTCTTTAACCTCGTGTTTTTGTAAAATGATGGAGAGGCTCATTTTAAATAGACTTTTATATATAATAGGTGATCAGCTGTCTAGTAATTTGTTTGGGTTCCTCAAAGGAAAAAGTACCTCTGATTATATTATTAAATGTCTAGCTGTGTGGTATCAAGGTTGTATGTCAGGTGTGAGGTCTTTTGAACTCGGCACACCGCAGGGAGGAGTGTTGAGTCCCACCCTGTTTAATGTACTAATGAGTAAGATAGCATCTGAGAGATACTCAAATGGAGTAACTCCGATCATATATGCCGATGATATTTTGTTTCAGGGCAAGGATATATCAAAGGTTCAAACAGTGTTGGACAATTTCGGAAACCTGTGTCACCATATGGGGCTGGTGGTTAATGAAAACAAAACTAAGTTTGAATGTAGAAGTCGGAGGCCCATTATATTGAAAATAAACGGTAAAAATATATAGTTAATATATATAAATATTTAGGCATATATGTTGGATATACCCATGAGAGTTTGGAAGCTGAGATGAACAGACTGTTGGGTCAATGTCGGAAGAGATTACAACCTCTGAAGGCCTTGGCATGCTGTGGAAAGGGAGTGGGAGTCCATGTGCTACGAATGATATACTTGAGTACTGTAAGATCTCTTACTGATTATGCTGCACCTGTCTTGTTTTCTTGTTTTGGGTAAAGGTAGGATGGGCAAGTTGGAGAAGGTACAAAATGAAGCCATGAGAATTATCTTAGGATGCCCAAGAAATGCTGTGATTGAGATAATGAGGATGGAGTTGAATCTGCAGAGTATTGGGGATAGAATTGTAGAGATAAATGTAGCCTCTGCCATTAGATTAATGAGAGGTGGGAGAGCTAATGAATTAATCCTCTCGGTTCAAAAGGTGGGAAGTAGTGAACAGTGTATGATGAAGAAGAGAGTATGTATGAATAACTTATGTACTAATGTTATAAAGTATGATGTTATTACAGAGTGTATTGTTGTGCCCAAGAGAAAATTCACACCACCATGGGAGGATTATAATGTAGATGTAGTAATTACTCCCTTGCAAAAGAAAAAAGTATGTATGAAATAGGAGAGCTGAGGGCAACATATGATTGTATAATTAGAAAACTGCCTACAGAAAACACTCTACATGTATATTGTGATGGGTCAGTAGCTAGGGATGGGAAGGCAGGATGTGGAGTCTTGATCAGGGAGTACACTGACATCGGCACTGTAGATACTGTTATTGGACGCCGCTTAACTGACAATGTCTCTTCAACGCAGGCTGAACTCCAAGGTGTATTAGCAGGATTACAGGAAGTAGTCAAATGTGGTAAAAATGCTTGCTTCTTTATTGACAGCAGAGGAGCGTTAGAGTCTTTAAATAGCAGACGCCCAGTATATCAGAATATTGTGATAGAGTGTAGAGAGAATGTTAAGAAATTAGAAAAAACTTGGTATAAAGATTCATATGGATCTCTTCACATGTGAGAATACTGTTGAATGAGGTAGTTGATGACATAGCGAAGAGAGCCACTGAAAAAACTCTTGTTGATGTTGTATGTCAATTAACCTTGAAACAAATAAAAACAAGAATCAAGATGATCCAAGAGGGTGAAGAAATGATAAAGAGAATGGCAATGGTGGACAGTAGTAACACACTTAAGAATTATTCAATAATAAATACAAATTCGTCCTTCACTTATGGTAGAGGAAAGTCTACTTGGAAGGATTCAATTTACATGAGATTAAGATTAGGGTACAAATATATCTGGCAATACGGTGTTGATGTCAGTGAAAAAGATAAGGAGTGTAAATTATATAGTATGCCGCACGCCCACACCTTAGAACATTATGCATTAGTGTCAACTTATTGAAAACTATAGAAATAAGGAAATAAATAGTGTACCACATCAAATTGTTTGGATGTGTGATAATGGTATGATAGACAGTATACTTAGGAGCTACAAGAATTTTGCCCCAAGAGTGTAACAATTATATGCTGTACTTACTATATGAACCTGCAATGTTAAATGGGATTCTTGTATTGTAATTTGTCTATTTGTACTCACTGCATTTGTGCGCCCCTTGAGGGACTTGAAGTAGAGGGGGGGTAGAAATAGCCTAAGCTACTCTATCCCTTTGAGATGTATTTATTGCTTATCTCAATAAACATACTTGAACTTGAACTTGATCAGGAATGAATATGCAGTCTTACAAACCTTCTTTCAGACTTTGGGGAAAGGTGTATTAACACTGATAAAGACAAGATGCCAATTTTTCGGTTTAACAAAACAAATGACCCTGTTTTTTCTTACAACAATTCCACTGTTGGATTCCACCGACTGCTGGTGTCTGGATTTCCAGGCCGGGGCCTTGCAGTAAACAGTGCAGCCATAGTCTGAATTCCACCAAGATCATAAACCATATTACAGGTTGTTCCTCCAGTACCTTTACCCCCTATATAATCATATCCTATTAATTTCTTTCAGGGAAGAATGAGGTGTTCTTTCACATTAAAAGTGTGCACAGTTTTGCGCCTTTCATAAATCCACTCAGCTGTGATGTGATGTATGAATCATCGCACCTGGTGCCAGATCTTTGTGTAGCAAATGATGTCCACACAATCAGTAATAATTGTCAAAAATATAAATACATACAGTAATTAGTTTATGATTTGATTTAAAAGTTTTATTTGGCCCATTTAATATAATTTCATAAAATTCACACACAAATCCATACTTAAATAGCATTACTGAACACTAACGACGATCAGTAGGGAATTTCTGTACACACAATATGCAAATATACTGTATAGTCATCTCAGCATTGAAAACAAACATCCACTCATTAAAATAGTTACTGTCAAATGCATCATTCTTCTCTCCAATATCTACTGAATGTAATACTGAATATCCTCATATATAAAATTCATCACACAAGACAAAACAAGGTACTCTTCACACGTGTATTGGTATATCATTAAATTACAGTACCCATATGAATATCACCAGTGGCCCAACTAGCAGAAAAGAAGGAACTTTCATCGTCCTCGCTGCACCTATTACCGGCACAAACAGCATGTATCAGATGGCAATCATATTTGAATAAGAGTTTGACAAATCAATTAAAAATTGACCTTCTCCACTCGTATGCAGTTTCTAAACATTCAGCTTGTTTTACCTAACTTTGGATTCTCTTAAGTTTTTCTTGTTAAAGAATTCACCAATTTTTCAAGTCTACAATGATTCAAGCAACACTGAAAATAAATAAAAGAATGTATAATAAAACACTGCATATCATAATGTAAAGAAATATTTTATTTACAATTTACAGAATACATGATGACTTATGATGGTCTTGTTAATTACATCCACTTAAATGCAAATATAATTAATATCCATCCCAAGTTATCAATCAGCAATCATAATGCTCATACGCACTAGATTATTAAATTATTGTTAACCAGCAATCCACTTTAAAAGATCTAACTCAATCAAGATCCACTATACATCAAAACCAAATTTATATCCTACAGAATTTGAGTAGAGGCCAAGTAGAAAAAAGGAAGAACAAAATAATAAGAGGCTTATTGACCTCTAATGTGTTCCAGTTTTTCATACTCATCTCGGACCATACGGTGGTATCTTGTAAGGATTGGCCTGTAGTACATTGCCTTTGAATCTCCACGCTCTGACATTAAATCACGAACCTTCTTCTCGGTCAACCTTTAGGTGAATAACGATAAATTAATCATTTTAATATTCCATTATCTCTTCATATTGCCTTCCTAAAATAATTTATCTTGGATTTTACCAAGATTTATGAACAGCATATTACATTCAATATACTGATGCTATATGTAATTTTGCACATCTGGTAGCATGTGCAAAATGAGATGGGAAGAGGAGGGAAAAGGGGCGTGAATAGGAAGGGAGGGAGGGAGAAGAGAAAATCAAATACGTCAAACTTTACTACACGTTTTTATCTTGTTATATCTTAATACTGTAAATTCAAGGAAAGCTGCATTTTACCTAATGTTCTACAACCCTTTAGTATTTTTTTAATAAGGCCAATAACACACACACACCTCTCACTACCAAGTGGTTACACAATGGTACAGACGATCACCACCTTTCGCCTACGCTTCTAAGGATAAATACACAAGCCAATTGCATAAATCAGCTACAAAAAATCCTTTGCCAATCAGTCAATTGTTTAATTATTTTCCCTAAGTCATAAAACTGTTTATCATCTAGCTGAGTGAGAAGGGTGACCCAACAGAAGTATATGGTTGAAGACACATACCAATTTCTTGGTAGAAGATAGTGGAATAATATATGATGGATTGAGGGAATATAGATTGAAAATAGAAACAGGTTTGTGTCATGATTAGAGCCACTTGGTGTCACTCTTGCTGTAGAAACCCCCTGATGGGGAGCTCCCAGAAGAAAGCAAGGTATCTGGGCTAACTTGTTATTAAAATAAAGAGTACTTACCTTATCTGTTTCTTCTCATTTTCATCATACATGAAGTGAAGGTACTTTTCATAGTCCTGCTGATGGCTTGTGCACATATACCTAGACAAGAATCTTGAGATTGGATGCTGCAAAAACAATACTCAAGTCAGTTTTAATTAACTTTTATATACAGTATATACAAAATTAAATAAAAGCCATGCCAATCTACAGCTCACATTTTCTGGAATTATTCTATTCTAATCTATTTAATTATGGCTTTTAATGTAGTTGCTGAACTGACACAGACATCGGGAATTTTAAAGTCACTACACTTAAGATTAGATACTCTTATAAAGTGACTTGCTCATTGCTCTAAACATCTCAAGTCATGTTATACATCCCCACTTATGCTCTACATCTATACCAATGCCATATTTCCTCAACCAACCCTCGGCACCTTTTCTAATCCTCCACATTACTACAATGTCCTACATTCCAAAATCATTCTCAGCTTTATAAACACTTAAAAATATCAGTACTAAATTTTGTATAATTAATCTCTAGTAATAATGAACAGTTAAGGGCTAAAGGCAAATTAAGGTTATATCACATTCAAGTTTATTTTAATATTTCCTAGTCGAAGCATATTTACAGTGTAGAAAACGGCTGTTCAACACCTTCATACCTATCAGTAAAATGATAGTTCAGGCAAGTTTTGCACTTGTTTACCTAAAGTCAGTTTTGAACGTTCTACTCTCCAAGCCCCGCCAAGGGCCAGACTTGTCTGGTGGCAATTTGATTGGTAAAGTTCTCCCTTTCAATACTCAAGTAGTAACAAATTTCAAAACACTGTACAGTACAGTATAACAGAAAGTAAGTTACACTAATGTGTCTGAAAACAAATAACTCAACCCACATATGAAATTAAATGAAAGATGAAGTTTCAGTCTGTCCTGGATTCACGTCATTTGATAAGGAGAGGTCCAGGATGAATCAAAATGTCGTCACTTTCACTTTACACCTGTGGGTTGGACTCATTTTACAGTATAGCGAAATCAATGCTTCTCATTGAACAGCTTCTTTATTCACTCCTGTTCTTTCACCAAAGGCTTTATCACACCAACTATTCTCACATTCCCTTTTCTTGTTTGCACCTTATAATTTCCATTAACCAATCTTACAATCAATTAAATGACTTCCAGTTCACTCTAATCCAAATTAATGTTACATAAAAACTTACTAAACAGAAAATGTTAATTGGATTTTATTTGCAACTATTGTTCATAATTTTAGTTAATTTGTCAGTTTATCTCTACCCTGTTTTCCAATTTGATGGTGTGAAGGAAAAAAATCTGCCCATTCACCATATCCTACACACCTTTATATGCAGTATTCTAGAGAACCAAGCAATAGTGAATATATCTGAAAAAAATTCAGCCTTTTACCCATTCTACTTTTATTCAGTCAAGCAATAAAAATAACTTCAAAACTTGCACAGTACTCTATAATTATTTAAATTGGTAATGAGCATACAATACGTAGTTAAATGATAATAAGAGCAGGCTATAATTAAATTATAATTAATCTACATGAACACAAATGCTTTAAACATAATATAGCAGAAAAAATGCATCTTCATTAATTACCGAGTAATACTCCCAATATTTTGGAGTATAGCCTTCTGGGATCGGAGCCAGCTCAGCAGGACCAATGAACACATTTACGAGAAACACCAATGTTCCAAGAGGAATGACGCCGAGCATGGTGTAGAAGTGGAGCATGTCCTTGTACTTGTGCCACTGCCAGCGAGATGGAGTGATGACCATTTTCCTGGGGCCATGCCCCCCCATCTCGCGCCGAACTGTTGATGGAAATGTATTAATACTCGAAAATAATTATGTGCATCAAATGTGTTCACCAGAAGAGCAATTATTTTCCCATTTCCATTAAAACATTTTAACTGACCTAATTTATAAAGTTAAAACTTTGAAGAAGTAAAAATAGGGATCTCTTGTGAAAATATTTTAAAATCTCTTGTGCCCTTAAAAAAAAAATTGCATGCCACATTCCGTAACCTAAATATAACCCATTTTATCTCCATATTGTACAATGACGTAATGGCTTTTAAATAACATTTATTTCTGCTGCCAAATCCTTTACAAATGACAATACAAATTTTGCATACATTTTGCACAAAGATCTATAAATCCATAAATTCTAAAGACTAGATTGTATAATTGTATTTCTCAACTACAATATACAATAAGCTTCACACTTTTAAAGTACAGTACATCATGGAATCAGCACCTCACGAAGCACTAAAGCAAATACTGTACTAGCATTTACAGATGTTGCAACTAGATTAGTACCATCCCAGAATTAAGCAGACTTAGCTAAGAGGTCAGGCTAGGGGAATTTTGACCTCTTAACTTTAGGAGAGATGATACGATCACCACAAACAAGATTCAGAGTGGAAAAAGATGTGGACAAGGTCACCCTAATTAAATTGAAAGGGGGGGGGGGGGGGAAATGGATACGAATCAAGTTGTAGAAATATCAGGAAATTCTCGTACCCTATTTAGGAAATCGATAGGAGGACTGCACTGAAAGAGGAAGTTGCCGAAGATAGTTTCTTACACCAAATTCAAAGAGATAACTGTTAGAACCCAATTATTAAGAGATGATCTTGACAATCCCAAAACTGTAAATGCCAAAACTTGGCCAGCGTTTAAAGAACAGCTGGAAAATATCATGGCAAATGGGTGGAGGGGGGTCCTTTGACAAGCCACCGGCTTCCTGTCCCCGAGGCCACTAGTGTTAGTGGCTCTCAGGTAAAGTCGGATGTAAATAATGCACACCACTGAAAAGCAAGCAGACAGGGCATAAAGGGTTAGATCTCACTCCACTAGCCAGAAATGTACAAGCACAGGAAGACTGTTCCCAATTGTAAGGGAATATGTATACGGTCACCAATCCAGTTACTAGCACCCACCCCGAGAGAGCCGCCCCCGGACACCCACCCCGAGAGAGCCGCCCCCGGACACCCACCCCGAGAGAGCCGCCCCCGGACACCCACCCCGAGAGAGCCGCCCCCGGACACCCACCCCGAGAGAGCCGCCCCCGGACACCCACCCCGAGAGAGCCGCCCTCGGACACCCACCCCGAGAGAGCCGCCCTCGGACACCCACCCCGAGAGAGCCGCCCCCGGACACCCACCCCAAGAGAGCCGCCCCCGGACACCCACCCCAAGAGAGCCGCCCTCGGACACCCACGACAAGAGAGCCGCCCTCGGACACCCACCCCAAGAGAGCCGCCCTCAAGCACCAGTACTGCTCAAACACTCACTAATAGCCAAGCATTGTGCCGGGGTGCAGGCACTCCTGAAGGGGAGGGAGCCCGCACGGAGGCAGCTGACGACCGACATGTTGCCTCTGGCCAGCTGAGCTGCCTGAGCATCGCCTTCCGCACTCCGCACCTCCTCACAAACCTCTATTGGGATTTTCAAATTACCTCTATTACGCGTACATTTTATGAATACATATATTGAGTTTAAGGGTTATATAATGCATATAATATATTGGGTTAAAGTGCTATATAATGCACGACCCGCCAAATCGTTTAACAACCATCGTTCACTGCTGGGTGAACAGAGGCGCACAGTTAAGGATTGGTGCCCAGTCAATCCTCCCCTGCCAGGATAAGAACCCAGACCAAAGCGCTCGCGAAGTGAGGACGAGTGTCTTTCCACTGCACCACGGAGGACTACATAAAGAAGAAGTTGATAATAAGTTAAGATAATGAATAAATTCTCTTTTATGATTATGAAAACAAATTATCTTTTATTATACTTACTGAAACGTGGTTAAAAGAGGATACTACTCAACTCTTTAACATGCCAAACTACTCAGCAATTCACAACTGTCGTCCAATTCAGAGAGGTGGTGGTACTGCTCTTTACTATCACCAAGAAGACTCGCCTGGCGTTCCGCGAGCGCTATGTCATGGGTTCGTATCCTGGCCGGGGAGGATTTACTGGGCGCAATTCCTTAACTGTAGCCTCTGTTTAACGCAACAGTAAAATGTGTACTTGGATGAAAAAACGATTCTTCGCGGCAGGGGATCGTATTCCAGGGACAATAGGATTAAGGACTTGCCCGAAACGCTACGCGTACTAGTGGCTGTACAAGAATGTAATAACTCTTGTATATATCTCAAAAAAACAAAAAAAATTAGAACTAGAGACTACTGTGGGGAGTATATCTTCGCCAGTTTCAGAGTCAAGGGAGCTGAGTCTGTCCTGACTGTAGGAGCAGTCTATAGAATTCCTAGCACTGATGTGTCCGAATTCAACTTTAACCTTAAAAATCTAATACTAGATAACAGACTGAACAAAAACCATCTAATTATCGCAGGGGACATTAATATTGATTTCTGCGAGCCTGAACACCCTACTGCTGCCAGCTTCCTCAACTGTATGAATTCCTGCTTCCTCATACCCTTAATCACTAGACCTGCCTAAGTCACCTCCACTAAGTCACTCATAGTACTGCCACGGCTCTTGATCACATCTGGACCAACATAACCTCTCCGCTTACTTCAGGGATAATCGTCGATAGCACTATAGACCATTACCCCACATTTCTCCTAACTAACATTAACAATCCACCTCTAGAGACAAGGGAGATAAGCTTTAGGCTGCACAATGAAACTGCCATAGGCAGTTTTATAGCTGCTGCTGCTAATGTCCATTGGGAGTCCGAATTAGGTAACATAGGGGACAATCCTAATTAGTTTAGTTTAGTTAATTTATTATGCACCCCATACCCATCTTGTGGGCGGTAGTGGAAAGGGTTACAGAGGCACATAATGGGCTCAGGGACTGAACCCCACAATTCATTAAGCTAAGCAAGTTACAATCTTGATGAGCTAGTTACAAAATTCAATTAAGTCGTCACATCAACAATGGGTTCGAGATCGACCTCAAGTACAGGTTCTAAATTAAGCAACTGACATATGTGGAGAGCTAGTGTCACAATTTATGTTTGTCCTGCACACCGCCCCCCATCCAGTGGACAGCGGTGGATAGGTTACAATCACTTAGTTACTACCTACAGTTAGCAAGCTGGGGATATTTGGCTAAAATTTCTGATAGCAGATCATTTTGAATGAAATATTTACACATCGCTGGAACATTGGTTATAGAATTGTCTCTAAATTCACGTATCTTTTCGCACTCCATCACATAGTGACGGAGGGTGCAGTGCAATCTTTTCTTCAAAAAACTCTCAGCCTTTATAACACCCACTGTCCTATGCTAACGAAACAAGTCACAACTAAAAGGCTAAACAATCCTTAGCTTACAAAGGGGATACTTAAATCCATTAATAAAAAACATAACCTTGAGAAGAAATATAGGTTAGGAATCGTCTCCAAAGAATTTTCAAAGAATTACTCATCATTGCTATCTAAAATAATTAGAAGAGAAAATTAAATACTACGAAGATAAATTTACTCACACAGAGGGCAACATTAAGAAAACTTGGAGCACAATTTCACAAATATTGGGATCAAAGAAGATTTTAAATAACAAACCAATACTCCTGTCAAATAATGATGGTCTGCTTTCAGCCTCTAACACTGCTTTTGAGTTCAATAGCTTCTTCTCTTCCATTGGGTCATCCCTTGCAAATGATATTCCATCTTCCAGTACTAATATTCAGGACTATCTTACAGGTAACTATCCACAGTCTCTGTACCTAATGCCTACTAATTCCACTGATGTTACTGACATAATTCTTTCCCTTAAAACCAAGTCTAGTGCCCTTGAGGAGATACCAACTCTTATTTACAAAAAAAGCCTCCAGATTTTTAGTTCCTGCCAATGCATTGCTCTTCAACAAGTCACTTGAACTCCAAACCTTTCCAGATATTCTAAAAAAAGCGAGAGTAATAACCCCTGTCCACAAATGTGGTGATCCCACTGATGTTAACAACTTCAGACCTATATCAATTCTGCCAAACTTGTCTAAACTATTTGAAAAACTTATCTACAAGCAGCTTTACTCTTATCTAGCCAAACACAATATACTTAGCTCTTGTCAATATGGCTTCAGACCCAAAAAAAGCACTAACGATGCACTTATTTGTATGATTAACTTGATACATGCAGCTCTTGATAAAAATGAGTTCCCTGTTGGGTTATTTGTGGACCTGCGTAAGGCTTTTGACAGTCAACCACCAAAACCTTCTTCTTAAGTTACATCATTATAGAGTCAGAGGACACTCCCTGCAATACCACAAATCCTACCTTACTGACAGGCTCCAGAATGTTTCTGTGAATAATTCAATTTCTCCCACCCTACCCATCAACATTGGTGTTCCTCAGGGAAGCATACTTGGCCCTCTCCTCTTTCTCATCTACATTAATGACCTTCCAAATGCCTCCCAACACCTCAAACCAATTCTATTTACTGACGACACAACCTTCATTAACTCCAGTCCTGACCCCCTTGCTCTAAATGCCACAGTGAATACTGAGCTAAATAAAGTTCATCTTTGGCTAACTGCCAACAAACTCACCCTTAACATTGACAAAACTTTCTATATTCTGTTTGGCAATAAATCCTCTAATCAAATAAATCTCATGATAAACAATACCCAAATTTGCAACAAAATAGATGGCAAATTCCTTGGCGTTCTCATTGACCACAAGCTGAATTTCCAGGGACACATTCTAAATATATCAAAAAAAGTTTCAAAAACTGTTGGCATTCTTTCTAAGATCAGATATTATGTACCTCGCCCTGCCCTGGTGACGCTCTATTACTCCCTCATCTATCCATATCTCAACTATGGTATTTGTGCTTGGGGTTCTACTACCCAAAATCATTTACGTCCTCTAATTACTCAACACAAAGCTGCTATTAGGACAATATCCAACTCTGGCCCCAGACATCACTCGGTACCCCTACTCAAATCTCTGAATATGTTAGATATTAAGTCACTGCACATTCTCTCACGTGTATTATACATATATAAAACGCTGAATTGTAATGCCAATCCTGACCTCAAATGCTTCATTGAAGGTTGTAGCAGAACCCATGAGCACCACACCAGAAACAAATACAGTTTTGATATTCCAAGAGTACGACTTAATCAAACTAGAAATGCTCTACAAATCAAGGGACCCAGAATGTGGAATGACCTTCCCAATCATGTTAAAGACTGTACCTCTCTCAACCAGTTTAAGATAAAAACTAAGCACTACCTAATAAATTCCCTGTAACCTACCTTACCCCTATAACTAGTGGCTTTACAAGACTGTAAATACTGTACTATTCAATGTATTCTCACAAACCCAATGTACCTTCTTGTATATATATAAATAAATAAATAAATAAATAATAAATATATTGTCAACCCATGTCTGTTTTTTTTAACAACGCTCTTTGTCGATCTAATTGTATTTGTGCTGCTTTTTCTGCAATGTTCCCCCCTTTTTTATTTTTATTTATATTTATTCTCAACACATTTTATACTTTAATCTCAATTAGTATTAAGTTTTAGTCTTTAATGTTTTTCCTTCCCGAAACGCTTTGCGTAATAGTGGCTTTAGACATTGTATGTACCAGCTCTATCTATAAATCTATCAATTTCTGTAAAACCTCTTGTATGTATGTACTTTACCTGAATAAACATTTATTTATTTATTTATTTATTTATATCCTGAACAGTTGATAAATAAAAGTAATTGCGGAACTCCAGTTATCTAATACAAAGGGATACTTATCATAAATTGTATAAAACCTTATCATAAGCCAAGGGATTTGTAGATCAGTGTTTAAAGGGAATTCGGAAGTAATAATGATACAGCTGATGCCATCTGTCGGCAAAAGAGAACACTATCAAATGGCCGGTCAATAGTAGCCATAAGATACAGCTTACGCCATCTGTTGACATCAAATTACACTTATAGCAAATTACCCCACAAAATACAACTAGCGCCATCTCTTTTTTTTCCAACGCACTATAAATAGCCAAACAGCAACCCATAAGGCGGGTTGTTGTGCTCGGGTAGGAGGTTCCAAGCTCCGCCCCCAAATGGTATGGCGTGCATAATAAATGGCATTTCATTGGTAGATATTCTTTGTTGACATTCGCACAACAGCCAATCACAGGAAGGGATCAGGTAAAGGCTCCATCCACTTAATAAATCATCTTTATTCAGCACACCATCCTTGCTTATGATATTCAGTTTCAACTTTAATCGACCTAAAAAGTGAAGGGTTAAGTATTTATAAGCATTAATAAAGTGATAATTAAATACTGCAGGATGTAACAGAAACATGGGCTGGCTACTTTACTTGTGACGTCATCAGTGGGGGTTGCCTCACGCAAATAATATCGATGATACAATGCTCCGTTTTATTATTGAACTCGATTATTCAGTTAGATGGAAATTTCTGTCTTGTACATAACGAAGAGGTTGTGTTTGAAATAAAGAGATTGCTGTGCAAAAAGACTTATTTCTTAGTTTGCATATAATTTATAGAAAGAGTGTTGGCATTCCCAGCAACAGCCAATCACAGGAAGGTATTTGCTAAATGTTCGTCTCCTTATCGACGTTCTCAGGAGCGACACACAGATCTAGCTTATGGCTTACTGTTTCATCTCTTGTATATATAAAATATGAATATTTCGATTACTATGATTATTAAATGTATGAGATTATAACAGTTGTTACACAAAATGGCTAAATTTTGCCATTATAAAGAGCTCATAGTGAATTTTGTAATAGAGTTTTATGGAAAGGGAGTTATACAATTTTTCTAAATATCTTCTGACATGGGTGTTGAATTCTCAAGTTCAAGTTCAAGTATGTTTATTGATACAAGAAAAAATACATCTCAAAGGGATAGAGTAGCTTAGGCTATTTCTGCCCCCTCTTCTTCAAGTCCGTCAAGGAACTCACAAATTCAGTGAGTACAAATTGCACAAATCACAGTACAAGAATCCCATTTAACATTGCAAAAATAATATATTTTTGGAGTAAATCCTTGTCTATGTTAATATGTAATCCAACTCTGGCCCCAGACATCACTCAGTACCCCTACTGAAATCTCTGAATATGTTAGATATTAAGTCACTGCACATCCTCTCATGTGTATTATATATATGTATAAAACTAAGGACTACCTAATTAACTCCCTGTAACCTACCTTACCCTTATAATGTCAACCCATGTCTGTTATTTTTAAACAATGCTGTTTGTCGACCAAATTGTATATTTGGCGTTTTTCTGCCATGTTTCCCCTTTCTAATTTTTATATTGTCTCAACACATTTTATACTTTAAGCTCAATTAGTATTAAGTTTTAGTCTTTAGTGTTTTTCCTGCCTGAAACGCTTTGCGTAATAGTGGCTTTAGGAATTGTATGTACTAGCTCTATCTATAAATTCAGCAATATTTGTATCACCCCTTGTATGTATCTACTTTACCTGAATAAACATTTGAATTTTAACTAAATCTAGTCCTTGCAGGCGAGATCAGTTGTGAACGCCAGCTAGCGCACAAGTACAAGAGCGCCCAAAATTAACACATAAGACATGGAGAGACAGGCGTGTAGCTTCTGACTTTGTTTTTATTAATTAATATTACATGTTAAGCGTTTACTCTTAATACATATTATTATATATAAGTATAACTATCACACAGTAAATGTAATAGGAGTCTACCCAAAAACTGGCCACAGTAAAGTGTTTTGTGCGTTCGACCATGTTTGTGGGCCGTCAGATACTAAGTGTAAACACTGGCGGGCGTCGTTCTTATGAAGCCAAGATTATGTCCATCACTCAACTTCATTTAATAACTATATGCCTTGTTAACTAGAAGATTTTAACTGTTAATAGTCTTACATTGGGGTTGTAATATTGAGTAAGTATATATATATATATATATATATATATATATATATATATATATATATATATATATATATATATATATATATATATATATATATATATATATATATATATATATATGTCGTACCTAGTAGCCAGAACGCACTTCTCAGCCTACTATGCAAGGCCCGATTTGCCTAATAAGCCAAGTTTTCATGAATTAATTGTTTTATGACTACCTAACCTACCTAACCTAACCTAACCTAACTTTTTCGGCTACCTAACCTAACCTAACCTATAAAGATAGGTTAGGTTAGGTTAGGTAGGGTTGGTTAGGTTTGGTCATATATCTATGTTAATTTTAACTCCAATAACAAAAAATTGACCTCATACATAGAGAAAAGGGTTGCTTTATCATTTCATAAGAAAAAAATTATAGTAAATATATTAATTCAGGAAAACTTGGCTTATTAGGCAAATCGGGCCTTGAATAGTAGGCTGAGAAGTGAGTTCTGGCTACTAGGTACGACATATATATATATATATATATATATATATATATATATATATATATATATAAGTAAATATATATGTGTACATACAAAAGAATGGGGGTGGTAGGAGAAGATAATATTAGTGTTCAGTGAGAAACCACAAGGTCTCCTCTGAATACTTTTTATTTTCTTCTCCGAGGCTATGGGTCCCCACATTGGCACCAGAGGTGGTACCCTCACAAAAATAAAATATATATATATATATATATATATATATATATATATATATATATATATATATATATATATATATAACAACAACAACAACAACAACAACAACAACAACAATAATAATAATAATAATAATAATAATAATAATAATCAGCTGAGACAAAAGCTACACGTGGCAAGCTTCCAGCTGATAACAGGACATAAAACAACCCATGAATAATGCATTTTTTCGATATATAACGAACAGTTAACAGTATTCATTCTTAAATTAACATCTTTCTCATCTTAAACTTTTTATTCTGTGAATTTATGACATGAAAACATATAAACAAAAAACTCCAGTTCATAAAGATTCTGGATATAGGTGTAGGTAAAAACGGGTTATGTTATAAGGAAGACGACGGAACTCAGTGGAAGATTTTCTCTCTTGGAGGAGACTTTCTACTGTGTGGCAATTGACGTTTCCACGACTGAGGAACGTCTTAAGGCGCACGTATGCACCATGTGAGAGGACACCCAGCCGGCCTCCTGCAACTCTCCACATTGCAAGACCTACCATAAGGGGGACTATATTTTGGAGGCGTGGGATAGGTGAGAAGCCATTTCTAAGCCTGCAGTTTAATCAGTGATTACAAAGATAGGCGTTTAATTATGAAGGGATTAATATAGGTTAGCAAAGAAAGTGTTTATCATGAACTTTTATATTTACTGTTTTATGGCAGTAAAGATCATTTCCAGGATGTAACTCCTAACAGTTGACTAATACCTGGGCACCTATTCACTGCTAGGTGAACAGAGCCATTAAGTGAAAGGAAACATGCCCAACTATTTCTGTCTTGCCTGGGCTTTGAACCCAGAATTCTTGAGTGTCAGTTGAGAATGGACCGAACTGCACTAATCTTTGAAGACTCCTAGTTTAACCACCTGATGTAATGAAAAGTCGTACTTTTGGGATGATCATTCAGTATTTTGTCGGGACTTTATGACATTACACAGGCCTCATCTGCTGTAGCCTCTTAGATTCTAACAACATTGTAGTAGTACGCGTAGCGTTTTGCCTGAAACGCTACGCGTACTAGTGACTGTACTAAAATGTAAGAACTCTTGTATATATAAATAAATAAAATAAATAAATAACAATACGGTATCAACAGACATCATTGTCAAGTAGACCATATCAGAGAATGTGCAGTGCTTTTTCATGAGAAATTCATGACTCATTTGAATAATTAACCTGACCCTAATTAAAGATTGCTAATACGATGAATACAAGCCTATATGGATATGCGAACAAGCCTGAATGAGTTTCTATATGGATATGTGTAATTTTGATACTGGACCATGGGATACTGTGCTTTTTGGTTACACGATGAGCAGTTACCATTGTTGCTCATACAATGTCAACCACATCACATTTTTTATACTACATCCAAATAGTGCAGCAGGTCATGGTTCTATATTCAAATTGCACAGTGCCCCTTTGGTCTTATATCCAAATCATGGAGTGCTCCAAAATCCTGAATACAACATGCATAAACTGTATGCATGTTGGAATGACATATGTTGTTCCTTGTACAACTTTCTTCATTCAGTTTTCCACACCTTTATAGAGCTTCTGGATGCATTAATCATAAGTAAGAGTATCGTTAGGTAAGAGTAAGAGTTAGGTAATTAATTGTTAGGTAAGAGTATCACAGTGATTATCAAAGTTGGGTCACAACTGATTGGACCTGTGTACAGCTCCCAGGCAAGGCAAAACGTTTTGAGCATGTTTCATTACACCTGATGCCTTTGTTCATCTAGCAGTTTTTTTTTTTATTTTCTACCACAAACGTGGCCACACATTTACAATGCTAACCAGCATATATACATTTTCTTCTGTCCTCCATGGACAGGGTTAGATTCATCTAGCAGTAAATAGATAGCTGAGAGTTAATGAACTGTTTTGGTTTGTATGCTGGGAAAGGTCAGTAGTTGGGCTGGGAGACCTTGATAATCCTAAAATATTTCCCATTCACAATAATGGGCAACCATTATTCAGAGCATTGCAAATTACTCCTGAAAGGGTACTGAACACACTTTGATATGGTCCACTCTCCAAACATCATTTGTCAGATTTAATTATTGGATATAGGCCCATGTGATACACTTATGCACTACACTATTTAGATACAGGATCATGATTTTTTTTTTTTTTTGCAGGCAGGTTAACATTATCAAATTTTATTCTACTGCATACACATCCTTGAGCTCGGTGCCCCGTGAATCTATATCCAAATAGTCCAGGGCCCAATGGACTGTTCTCAGTATTTCTGTCATGTTGTATAATTCAATAGGAATCGTGCACAAGTGTTGAAAAGCTAGTGGGTATAATATAGATCATCACATAGAATACATGTTTGGTGAAATGAAATGTAGTGGTGAAATTACTCTGCAAATGGGTGATGTGATTACCGAGCTAAATTTTCTGCATTCGGGTAGCCGAGCACCTGGTGCACAGTGTAAATCCAGCCACCTTCAGGTCCTATTTGTATTACAGTAATATCTAAATCAACATTAAACATACAGTATTTTATTGTGGTATCATTTTAATGATAAACATCTGTTACTATTCAAACTCCTTGTTTTTCCAAAAATGTATTGCAGTATTTGTATTTAAATATGAAATATAACATGAACATAAGTAACATACATATAAGTAGCAGTATTATGGAGGCTTAATCCATCTTTTATTATAATTTGATTAACAATTTGGACAAAATAATGACTTGCTCACATAATGCAATAGTGTAGTGTTGTATATAACTCATAACAAATTATTCAGATATATGACGTAAAAAATCATTCGTGAGGAGGAGCTCATATAAGGGTAATGGCATCCAACATTATTAGAGGTGCTGTCCGTGTCTTCGGAACCGTGGCAGCCGTCCAGACACCAAGAGCAGCAAAAAGCAGCAGGTAAAATGATAATATTATTCATAGTATTAGAGTACTGTATTAGTATCTTCATACTAGTTTATTGTGTTTAATAATGATAATGATTGCTCTGTATGTGCATAGAAAATAAATAATTTGTTTACTGCAGTGTTAATATAGTACTGTATCAATATTTTGCTGGGTGTGTATTAGGCAATTTATATACAGAATTTATGAATTTAGTTTTTAAAATACAGTATACATTTTATATATATATATATATATATATATATATATATATATATATATATATATATATATATATATATATATATATATATATATATATATATATAATATATATATATAATATATATATTATATAAAATACACACACACAGATATACAGATATGACATAAAAATTCAGACACACATACACACTCTATTTTTTATATTTTGGCATTTTATTTTATTTAAAACTTCATTACACAAAAAGGGTTAGAACAATGGTTACATGCAAGATACAAGGCTACTTGTCACAAGTTGTCTAGTTCCTTCAGCTCCTCGGATGGTGGGCAGGAACCATGGATGCAGTGTGTATTTTCTCTCTGGATCACCACACTAAGGCACTGAAAGAGGAAACTGGCGGCTCTAGAGTTTCTAGTTGTTTCAGTTAGCTTAGAACCCAGCTCCTTCAAAAAACTAGCAGCACTTTTACTCCAGGCACCAGGTGTATCTGAGGCAATGGGGACAAAATTGTAGTGGTGATCAAGATCTCTATCAGTATTTACGAGACTTGGCTGCTTCTCGATGATTGGCAGCACCAACCACTGAAGCAATACATAGTCCACATAGGTGTTGGCTAAAGTTGAAATGCATGTGTAGTCCCACACCAACTATCTACCATACCTTGAGGTGCTTCCGGGGCTTAGCGTCCTCGGAACCATCCTTCCAGGGGTTCACTGTGATCCCGTCTGGGTGACTGATAGGCTTGTCAGAGTTGCAGGTCATTAGGTAATGAGGTTCTCTCTCTCTGCTGGACAACCGGCTGTGGTGAGGCTCCTCTTAATAATGTTATTTACCTCGCTGTGTCTTGCATGCCATCCTCCTGTGCTTTGGCAGAGCAGGCCATGCCCACTGTACCTGTCGGCCACTGCCTCGCCGTAAATACACCTATATTCGGTGTGGATTGCGGCCGCAAGGCAGAAAGCCACAGCAATTCGGAGGGCTTGCGGTGTGAGACGTGTGCCAGTTGCTGATATGGGGTTTGCTAATAGGAGGTCATCTGCATGGGGAGCTGCTACAGCTCTTAAGTTGGCAGTGTCATGTGATGATGTTGCAGCTTCTAGGCATGTTGCAGCTGCTTGGTCTACGATTGAAAAACGTCAAAATATTGCTAAATTCAATGATTTTTGGTACAAATCAAAATGCAAGAAAACTCGCTAAGACAGGCAATGTATTGCGAAATTCTGAGGTTTGTAGGTCAAATCATGAATCGTGATTTTTTTTTGACACGGGCCAATTTTTTTTTTAAGTCACGGGCAGACTATACTAACTCTGAGTGCATGTATGGTTATGTGTGCATATTAGTTGGTACATTGCCGCTCCTATGGGTACATAGTGTTAACAATTGGAATTGGTGGCCTCCAATAAACATCTGCCATCTTGAAAACTGAAATGATCTTGGGGACATTTTTCCTATGCTCAGAGCATGGTTCTTAACAATATAAGAAGACAAATACTTAGTTTTATATACTATTTTTCTGTGTGCATACCAATGACACCTAATGTAAACCATGCACAATCAATGTGTTCAAGAAATATGAAACAAAATGTAATTCTTTCAGGTACATAACAGCAACACTGTTTGCATCAGGAGGAGTTTTCCTTTACTCGTCTTATAGTAGACGTGTTGACGCTGCCCAGAAATGTGCTACCTTAGATACCTCTTCTTTCATGGCAGAACCTGTTACAGAGCTGAGTATTTTAGAGGGAAACCCAAATGATATGAAAACTAAGATGGAATTGCTTATTATGAGAATTCAGGTGAGAACTAAGGCCTACACATTGTTCAAATTTGTTTAATTAGTTACTTTTGGCTTAGTTATTTTTATTTATACATTAACAGTTAGCTAGATGTATTAAACTCTTTTGCATCACATATAGTATTTTAATACAATTTTGAATATTTTTTTAGAATTTTGAGTTGGTTAACCCCACCCAAATAATTGTTAAATATGAATAACCAGCTTGTTAATCCCACACATAAATAAATAATTCCTGTCTGTTTCTAGTCAGAGTTTTGCCATGCATTAGAGCAAGAGGATGGGAAACAGACAAAGTTCACTGTTGATAGATGGAGGCGTCACAATCCCAGCGAAGGTGGAGGTATCACCTGTGTCCTGCAGGATTCCGAGACGTTTGAGAAGGCTGGTGTAAACATCACAGTTATGTCAGCCCCGCTCTCTAAACAGCTGCAAGCTAGTATGAGGGCAAGGTAATTATTCCTAGGGCCACATATGTCCCCCCTCCCCCCTCAAATATACATCTGAGCAATATTTTGATCACATTTTGTATCTCCATTACATACTCATTATTTTAATTCACTCTTCACAAACTACAGAATAGTAATTAGAATACTATATTATCAAGTCAATATTTTTCCTTTCAAAATACTTTATCAGAGCTATTACATTTGATTCATGTCAAGGGTAAGAATGTGCTGGGTTGCATGCCGGTTCACGAACTGTTATGCAGGAACACCTTCACACACTACCATTATAGAGATCATTTCAAACACCGTTTCTGGACCCTAAATGATGCACAGAAAACCTAAATCCACACCAGGAACGAAATATAATAAATAAATATATACAATGGAATCTTGGTTTATGAATTTAATCCATTCCAAGAGATAGATCGTAAACCAAATATTCATACACCAAAGAGATTTTCCCATGAGGAATATAGTAATGTAAATATAATTAATCTGTTCCACACATCCAAAAATATTAATTTAAAAGTACATTTTATACAGAATACTACTCATATTTTTTACTAGACTTTACCTTTATTGAGGACTCTTGTTGACGTATGAAAGACGGTGAGAAGGGGTGGGGGGGGGGGAGGAGAGGTGTTAGTGTTTAGAAGGCAGGTCCCCTTTTCATTTAACATCAAGCAGTGATAACATTTCTGGGGTACTCTCTCCTACATTTTGTAGGCATACCACTAGGACCTGGTTGTGGCTCATTAGTTGTTTGTCTCACTAAGAATGGACATGGACATCAGTTTTCCCTACATTTTAACACTTGTCTGTAGTGAGACATCACATTGTCATTAAAAAGGTTAATGCAACGGCCTGCTATAGCTTTATCTGGGCGAGTCTTTTCAGCAAAACTTTGCAGTTCTTTCTATTATATATCACAACATGAGGACCCATAGAACTTTTCTGTTCAGAAACCAAAACAGCAGAAAAACAATGAAATTCTTCACAAAGAATTCAAGCATGGTCATCACTAGGCAGGATACACTGGTAAACTGAGCGTGCACAATCAGTGCATGCCCAGCAGAATCTATGTGCCTGACCCATCCAAGTATCAACAAAAGAGTCGTACTCTGGAGCAAACGCTGTACACTGGGTCAAATTTTATGACAAAATTGACGTCATACACCGAAAAACTCGTACTTGGACATTCGTAGACCGAGGTTCCACTATACAGTATAAATATGTATATATTATTCTGTCTTGATACAGTGCATTTTTACCTCAGGGAATAAGTTGATTGGTATGCTGAGATAGGTCCTTTTTAAAGCTTTATTTTGAGTTACCATAATATGAAGTTGATAAAAGAAAACACAGAATTTGCCAAGAATGCAAATTTTTAACAGTATAAGACATGTACTGTACTATATAATTTCCTCACATTTGTTTGAGTCATAGCCTGTAGTGTGATAGCATTTGCTTTGTTTATTTCCACTCACAAAAATCAACTGTTTTTGTCACAGAATCTTGTTGTAAAGTGTTAGAAGATTTTTGGTGTGATTCTCAAATAATACTTATTATTTTCATTGAGTCTTTAATATATTTGGTATTGTTTAAATTTTAATATATACTGCTGTGTACAGTATTTGTAATTTATATACATATATATATTATTGCAGAGGTAAAGAACTGCCCGAAGACAAGCAGTTTACATTCTTCGCTGCTGGGATTAGTTCTGTGATACATCCTCGCAACCCTCATGTTCCCACCATTCATTTTAACTATAGATACTTCGAAATGCAAGATGAGGATGGAAACAATAAGCATGTAGGTTTTAAAATTAAATATACTTTTAGAAAGTATACCCACACATTATTGATTTAAAGGAAATTTTTTCTTTTGGATTAAAAAAACCTGTTCTGCATAAAAATATATTTATATACAGTATCTCTATTTTTTCTCCAAATTAGTGGTGGTTTGGAGGTGGCACAGACCTGACCCCATATTACCTCAATGAGGGTGACGTAAAGCACTTTCACAGTGCCCTAAAATCAGCATGTGACCGCCATGATCCTCAGTACTATCCAAATTATAAGAAGTGGTGTGATGACTACTTCCACATCCAGTATAGGGGTAAGTGACTTCCCATGATGCATGGGTTCTGTGGCATTGTAATCTTCACTCTCGACTCAAAACTGAGGGACTGCGATTGAATCCCAGAGGATTCAATCCTCTGGGAGGACGGAAATGGTTGGGCATGTTTCCTTTCACATGATACCCATGTTTAACTAGCAGTAAAATAAGTACCCTGGAGTTAGGCAACTGTTGTGGGTTGCATCCTGCAGAAGGATAGTAGTTGATCTGGGTGAATCGGGATAAGCCTGATATATATAAGTACAGGCTTCCTGTCCCTAACAACAGGAATTAAAGCATTCTCCAAATTGTAATTTAATACTGTATTAAATTTTGTGCTAATCTAAATAATAATAATGAAGAATCTAAGTACATATTGAGGTTAATTTACTATCTTGATACAAAATCGTATTCTGAACCCAACAGGAGAGAGACGAGGTGTTGGCGGTATTTTCTTTGATGATTTAGAAGCTGACAATCCTGGTGATGTGTTTAATTTTGTAAAGGACTGTGCAGAGGCTGTAATTCCCTCATATATTCCTTTGGGTAAGTTCCATCAATCTGTAAAATAGGTAATAATTCTCTTTCAAACTCTTTGCCTGGCAAAAAATTTACATATGCACTTTTGAAAGAATAATTTATGTAAAACAAGATTGCTTAGTTTTAATAAATGTATTTAAAAACTATCTAAATGTATATTGTTTCTTCAAATGTCAGTGAAAAAACACAAAAATGATGCAGTCTCAGAGGCAGAACGACGATGGCAGTTATTGCGACGAGGCCGCTATGTAGAGTTCAATCTAGTATATGACCGTGGGACCAAGTTTGGGTTTGCAACACCACATGCTCGTATTGAAAGTATACTCATGTCTCTTCCCCTAACGGCGGTAAGTACTGTACAGTATCTGAAGTGTGTGATTCATGGGATTGTAAAATAATTATATAAAGTACATACAATTTTTTATCAGTTGTTAGTGTTAATCTCTATACAGATAATACAAAATTAAAATGCTTTACTTGGCAAAAATAATGATGCCATATTAGACCGTCACTAATGCTTGCAATAAATTATGTGCAAAAATACACCATTTTCCAGTTCGATTTGATTTTTATTAACTTGCTTTGTTCCTACACCCTGTACTTGCAAATGTGTGATAATTGTGTTAGACGTCATGCTAGTTTGTTAATTTTCATTTGGGGAGTTCTGTCCACCTGTTCAGCTTTTGTTCGCAATACTTTTACCAGAATAGGGACTTGTTTTGGGGCGCCTACCTTTCTGGGTGTCTGTCCCAGTCGATGGCAGATATAGAATGCTCCCAACCACAGGAGGGGGGGGGGGTTCTATAGGCCATTGTTCCTTGTGCCTCTCTAGAGGGGTGCCAGGTTCTGGCTCGTGGTCCCTGGTAGGCAAGAACTCCATGCATTGACTGATGCCAGAAAGATATACAGTACACATCCATTCAGCCTGGATAGATCCAGGGAGCCGACGGGACTCCCCCAGGACGACTTCGGACGGCCTCCTAAGCTGTCCTGGTTTTTGGACCGGGTGCTCTCGTTTCTCTCTTCTCCTCGGTTTGTTGTGGCCCCTTCCGTTCGGGATTAGTTTTCTAAAGCTCTTTTTTTTCCTGTTGGCATTGGCCTCTGGGGGCCGGGTCGGGGAGCTTCATGCTCTCCTCCGGCGCAGGGGTTTCTGTTCCTTTGGTCCTGGTGGTCGTTTTGTTCGGTTCCAGCCTAAGAACTGATGGTTGGGTTGCTAGCGGACGGGTCTGTGGCTCCCCCTTCCTCCTCCCGGGGAGGGGGGTTGCGCAGACAGTGGCGCGGCGACATGATGACGTCATGCTAGTTTGCTAATTTTCGTTTGGGGAGTTCTGTCCTCCTGTTCGGCTTTCGGACGCAATAATTTTACTAGAATATGGGTTTGTTTTGGGGCGCCTACCTTTCTGGGTGCCTGCCCCGGTCGATGGGAGACATAGAATGCCCCCAACCACAGGGGGGTCTCTATAGGCCATTGATCCTCGTGCCTCTCTAGAGGGGGACCAGGTTCTGGGTCGTTGTCCCCGGTAGGCAAGAACTCCATTCATTGACTAACGCCAGAAAGATGTACATATCCATTCAGTCTGGATAGCTCCGGAGAGCCTCCGGGACTCACCCAGAAAATGGCGTTTCATTATTCAATGTTGTTTTTGTTTTTTTTCTCTAACTAAGTAAAACAATTATGAGATTGTCCACTGTAATCAATTGGAAAAACTTGAAAACTTATGGCTGATTGGTGTGATAAAAAAAACAGAATTATTGTTTATTTTTTGTTGTTAAAAATTGCTACATTTAAAGGCCAGTCAATATTGTTACAAAATTTTACATTCATTCAATCTTACATGATTTACAATAAACACTCTTAGAATATTATTTGATTTGGCCATTCTAGTGTGATATTAGTTTATTTGAAAGGGTCTCCCAATACTTAAAAAGACCAAAATAATAATATATTCTCCAAAATTTTGGTTGGAATGCGAGAAAATTTTGCATCTAAGATTTGGCGATTTTGACACGCACACTTGAAAAGTTTGCCCACTCCTGTTTTAGTATACATGTACAGTATTATCTGTACATGTATATAGTGTTGTTGTTGTTGTGAAAAATACCACATTATTAATTATATTATGTATTGAATGCTAATACTGTAGGTGGCATATCATAAAATAGCTGTTAGTGCATGATATTGTTTTATGATTCAAACAAAACTATTTTTGAATAAGTTCCAGTATCAGTACCACCTTTAGATTGTTTTGGTACTTGGTACCAGTGAGTACTGGCAGATTTTCACAACCAGATGATTCCAGATTTGATTCTACCACACAAAAATGAGATGTTTGGGTATGTTTGCTTCCACCCGAGTCCTCTGTTCACACAGAAGCAAATAAGTACTGTACCTGGGAATTAATCAGCTGTTGTGGGTTGCATCTGAGAAATAGTCAATCAGTGGTATAGGGAAGGCCTTGATAAGCCTGCCAGGCCTTCTGCCACCAGCAGTGGGAAATCACATGCCATTTAATGTACTCTTATTACAAAAATAGTTACATAATAACAAAGCAATTAAGGAGGATTTTTTCTTGCAGCGATGGGAATACATGCACCAACCAGATCCAGGCTCACCAGAGTTCAAGATAACGGAGGTCTTAAAAAATCCACGAGATTGGGTATAATATTAGATGAGAATTTTTGAGACAATGATTGTGCCCATCTTGAAAGCGTTTTTTATTATAATAGGAATTTATAATTAGTTGCATGGGAAAGATAGGCAATTAATGAAGTATCATTTATTAGAAAAAATTCTGATTTACTATATAGTTAAAAACCAAGACATGACTTGAATTATTTTAAATATTTTTGTTTTTATTTTGGGATAAATTAAAAATTTTATATAAAATTTATGGTGTGCTTTATCTTATAAATTGTGCATTTGGTTGATGAGAGTTTAACCAGTGTTTTAGTAGATGAATAATTATTTGTGTTTGATAAATTGTAACTCGGAGAAAACATATGGAGTAAAATGTAACTTCTTGTAAACTAAAATGTATAGCCGTTTATGTCCTCGACTTACAGTGGAGGATCCCAGATTTAATCCTTGAGCAGGAGCAAAATGATCCTCCCCCCCTCCCCCACCCCCCCTGACAATTCACCTGTGTTCATCTAATAGTAATTATGCATCTTGGAATTAGGCGATTGTTGCTAGTTGCATCCTGGGTAAGGTTAGTAGTTGGCCTAGGGTGGCCTTGATAAGCATAAGTACTGTACAAGCTTCCTGTTCCCAACAATGGGAGTTATTTATTGATCATCTGGGAACAGATTTAAGTCTTAAACACTATTGACTTGAGAAATGTACTTAAATTCTAAAGACATTCCGGAATTTTACTTTTATTCAGCATTGATATTTGCTGTATTACACAATGTAAATATAATTTTATTATAATTAAACTCAGAGCTGATTAATGGCATTCTTATTTAGTGCATGAATATTGTGAAGTGCCATCCTTATTAATTAATATTGTGTAAAATGACAATTGGCAGCAAGGCATGTGAAAAATTAGCTTAAAAGTGTGTGAGCAATATTTAGTACCCTTTGAATATCTTGCTATGCAGTGGTAGATAGTCTTCTTGGCTTGGTGCCTCCTGATACTTAATTGGTAAACCAAAATGGTAACTTTATCATTAAACTACGGCTCTTGTTATGTGTTGACCTGTGTGAGGATTGTCATCTAACGACGGTGACCGTCGTGTGAGCTGTCATGTGAGGATTGCATTTTTGTGGTGGTTTTCAACCTTTAAACTGCTTGGCTAATTAGAAGTCCTACATCGTCTATTCTATAGCCTACATTGTGATGCACTTGACAAAATAGTTCACAAAACTAATGTAAAAACAGTTGCTGTCACAAATTAGCTCAGTACCAAAATGGAAACAATGGAAGATGCACTTTCTTGAGTCGCTGGTTTATCACTGTGTGATAATTTGCAGTTCACCATACCAACATTGATGTAAATACAGTACAGGTACTGTATTTGATTTGATTTCCTTTTGCATAGGCCTACAGATCTATCATATCAAATTTAGTTTTATTCCATCACCTATCATGTAATGATGACTGATGCCAGTAATAATGGTGACAAATGTGCTTACTAACATAAATATATTTACCTGAATATTACTACACTTACTTTTACATACAGATCTAATATTTCATAATAAAAATGCAAATTATGGTAATTATTTTGTTTGAGAAAAGTGTTGTTTATACTACAGTATAAGTTACAAGATGCTCCAGGTAGTGTTAAAATTTTAAATTACTCTTTGGTGAATATATATTGTTGTATATATGAATGTTTGTATGGTACTTATGGAGGATAGTATAGTACAGTGATCTATTATTTGTATCAGATATTTGTAGTACAGTGACAGATCTATTATATGCAGTTAAATATCTGTAGTTCAGTGATGGATCTATTATATGCAGTTATGTATCTATAGTACAGTGACAGATCTATTACATTCAGATGGCTATAGTATAGCCATTTGCATAAGGACCTATTATATGGCAGTCAAATAGCTGTCACAGCCAAGACAGTTAATAACTAGATTAACAACAACATTATAAATAAGTACCTAAAACAACCAAATATTTATAATTTGACTTTGATATTTCTCCTTGTTGCATGACAGTGATGCCGACAGCCCTTGCTTTGCATCAAGGTTATGTACCTGTGTTAAAAAATGCACAAATAAAAATAAAATTTGATGGAAAGATAGTTACATTTTAGAGACATCCATAAAAAAAACTTTCATTCTGAACTCTATAAAACACTTGTAAAAAAAACTTACTATTTAACACTCCCGCCAGTGATTTAAGGATATAATAAATATATTTATTAAACACACAAATGCATATACCAGAGCCAGACACACTGCCAACTGTGGAATAGACAAACATCTTGTCTACTAATCTGCGCTCAACCCTTGTAAAGAAATCATCACAGCTTTTCAGCGCTTGGTATAAAAGTTAATAACTGCTAATGCAAAATTGGCATTTTCCAGTACAGTATGGAAAAATGCATGGACTGCATCGGTTGTGCTAGATAAGTGGGTCAAATTTGTCATCAGATTTTACCTCGGTGTCCAAGGTTCAGGCCCTTGAGGAGGGTCATGATTTTTATATATATAATATACAGTAATATATATATATATATATATATATATATAATGTGCGAACAAGCCTGAATGGTCCCCAGGACTATATGCGAATGAAAACTCACACCCCAGAAGTGACTCGAACCCATACTCCCAGAAGCAACGCAACTGGTAACTACAGGGCGCCTTAATCCGCTTGACCATCACGGCCGTCAAAAGGAAGTGATAGCCGAGGCTATTTGAGCCACTTCCCCGACGGCAACTCGGATGGTAATCTTGGGCATAGCATTTCACCAAATCACCTCATTCTTTGGGGCACACGTGAGGAACACAAATGCGAACAAGCCTGAATGGTCCCCAGGACTATATGCGAATGAAAACTCACACCCCAGAAGTGACTCGAACCCATACTCCCAGAAGCAACGCAACTGGTAACTACAGGGCGCCTTAATCCGCTTGACCATCACGGCCGTCAAAAGGAAGTGATAGCCGAGGCTATTTGAGCCACTTCCCCGACGGCAACTCGGATGGTAATCTTGGGCATAGCATTTCACCAAATCACCTCATTCTTTGGGGCACACGTGAGGAACACAAATGCGAACAAGCCTGAATGGTCCCCAGGACTATATGCGAATGAAAACTCACACCCCAGAAGTGACTCGAACCCATACTCCCAGAAGCAACGCAACTGGTAACTACAGGGCGCCTTAATCCGCTTGACCATCACGGCCGTCAAAAGGAAGTGATAGCCGAGGCTATTTGAGCCACTTCCCCGACGGCAACTCGGATGGTAATCTTGGGCATAGCATTTCACCAAATCACCTCATTCTTTGGGGCACACGTGAGGAACACAAATGCGAACAAGCCTGAATGGTCCCCAGGACTATATGCGAATGAAAACTCACACCCCAGAAGTGACTCGAACCCATACTCCCAGAAGCAACGCAACTGGTAACTACAGGGCGCCTTAATCCGCTTGACCATCACGGCCGTCAAAAGGAAGTGATAGCCGAGGCTATTTGAGCCACTTCCCCGACGGCAACTCGGATGGTAATCTTGGGCATAGCATTTCACCAAATCACCTCATTCTTTGGGGCACACGTGAGGAACACAAATGCGAACAAGCCTGAATGGTCCCCAGGACTATATGCGAATGAAAACTCACACCCCAGAAGTGACTCGAACCCATACTCCCAGAAGCAACGCAACTGGTAACTACAGGGCGCCTTAATCCGCTTGACCATCACGGCCGTCAAAAGGAAGTGATAGCCGAGGCTATTTGAGCCACTTCCCCGACGGCAACTCGGATGGTAATCTTGGGCATAGCATTTCACCAAATCACCTCATTCTTTGGGGCACACGTGACCATTCAGGCTTGTTCGCATTTGTGTTCCTCACGTGTGCCCCAAAGAATGAGGTGATTTGGTGAAATGCTATGCCCAAGATTACCATCCGAGTTGCCGTCGGGGAAGTGGCTCAAATAGCCTCGGCTATCACTTCCTTTTGACGGCCGTGATGGTCAAGCGGATTAAGGCGCCCTGTAGTTACCAGTTGCGTTGCTTCTGGGAGTATGGGTTCGAGTCACTTCTGGGGTGTGAGTTTTCATTCGCATATAGTCCTGGGGACCATTCAGGCTTGTTCGCATTTGTGTTCCTCACGTGTGCCCCAAAGAATGAGGTGATTTGGTGAAATGCTATGCCCAAGATTACCATCCGAGTTGCCGTCGGGGAAGTGGCTCAAATAGCCTCGGCTATCACTTCCTTTTGACGGCCGTGATGGTCAAGCGGATTAAGGCGCCCTGTAGTTACCAGTTGCGTTGCTTCTGGGAGTATGGGTTCGAGTCACTTCTGGGGTGTGAGTTTTCATTCGCATATAGTCCTGGGGACCATTCAGGCTTGTTCGCATTTGTGTTCCTCACGTGTGCCCCAAAGAATGAGGTGATTTGGTGAAATGCTATGCCCAAGATTACCATCCGAGTTGCCGTCGGGGAAGTGGCTCAAATAGCCTCGGCTATCACTTCCTTTTGACGGCCGTGATGGTCAAGCGGATTAAGGCGCCCTGTAGTTACCAGTTGCGTTGCTTCTGGGAGTATGGGTTCGAGTCACTTCTGGGGTGTGAGTTTTCATTCGCATATAGTCCTGGGGACCATTCAGGCTTGTTCGCATTTGTGTTCCTCACGTGTGCCCCAAAGAATGAGGTGATTTGGTGAAATGCTATGCCCAAGATTACCATCCGAGTTGCCGTCGGGGAAGTGGCTCAAATAGCCTCGGCTATCACTTCCTTTTGACGGCCGTGATGGTCAAGCGGATTAAGGCGCCCTGTAGTTACCAGTTGCGTTGCTTCTGGGAGTATGGGTTCGAGTCACTTCTGGGGTGTGAGTTTTCATTCATATATATAATGTATACAGTATATATAAATGTTACACATACATACATACTATACAAAAGTTCTTACATTCTTGTTCAGCCACTAGCATGCATAGCATTTTGGGCAAGTCCTTAAATGTATATGGTGGTGTGGTAGTGTGTATCGTGGTGTGGTAGTGTGTGTGGTGGTTAAGGGCCAGAGCAGCCCAGGGGTTAATCCTAACTTTCTCCAGAATACGACCTGCCAAATTGTTTAACAACCAGGTACCCATTCATTGTTGGGTAAACAAAGGCTACAGTTAAGGATTGACACCCAGTAAATTCTCCTCCGGCAAGGATACGAACCGAAGCCAAAGCACTTGCAAAACACCAGGCAGGTATGTTACCACTTCACAATGGGGACTGCTTGTGTGGTGATTCTTCACTGTTGCTGGTGCTTATATTTAGATACTGTTTTATATCTATTATTTTACAAATTCTGAACCATGAGTTACATTCATCTTTTGTGACTTAACAATAATATTCATGAAATGTATGGTGAAAGATCTATAAATATATATTGGTTATATATGTGCCACATAATCTCAAACCTGAAAATGTTTTCAATCATTTACTTCCTCTATTTTATAATTTTTATAACTATATTATTTGTAATTCAATAATAATAATAATAATAATAATTCATTGTGTCAAGGGACAGACAGCCAGAGTCTATATTTATATATATGTATATATGTCAGGCTTATATCAAAGACCAACCTCACCCCCACCCACCCCCATCCCTCTCCACCCCCTCCTCAGGATGCAACCCCACAACAAGATGACAAACACGTGCTCAACTATTTCTGCCCTGCCCTGGGATTTGAACCCGGAATTCACGATTGTGAGTCGAGAACGAACCCAACTGTATTATCCTTTTTTTTTTTTAATTCATATCTGGTTCTATGTGCACAAAAATATTAACTGCCTTACTTATGGGGTTTGACCTGAGACTTTTAACTGGCGATTTCAGATGAAGTAACGAATAACCAAAGGGAAAAAAAGTTGTGCAATATAATCTACATAAAACTGATTGATATTTTAAGCTCTCTGACTGACTTTTGTAATGGACTAGACTTTTACATGGTGTAAATATGTAGGAATAGTATTGGCAGCCACTTTTGATTTTGTACCTATAAACATTTGTTGAAAGAGGGTGTAATTTATGCCTCTTAGATAAGTCGACACATAAGAGGTATATATGGTAAGGTTTAAGGTTCTTATAATAATATGGAAGCAAGTTTTGTTTTAAAGAATTGCTTGGGTTCTATCTTCCTTACACTGAAGAAAAAAAAATGCTTGCCCCAAAAAAAATCTGAATTCAAGAATATTTGAGTGTAAGAAAACATTTGGTTTTGAAAAATAATGATGATGATAATCATATTACAGGTACATTATAGGAATGTTAAGTATTAATAAGGTTTTCTCTATTTTGTGTGCCTTATGTAATACTTTCTTCGAATTGTTCATCTGAATGAATTAAAGATTATTTGAATGCCTATTTTCTACTCAAGGCAATAGCAAATAAAATTAAGTACACTGAAGTTTAGAATAATGTGACAGACATTAAATATGGTATCCTACATTTTTCTGTTCATTACCCTATTTTCACCCATGATCTATTTTTCACCTTGATCAGTTACCCAATTTTTTACCATTGTGACCCATTATCCTATTTTCCACTTTTTGGTCCACTACCCCACTTGAATAGCACTTGTGTAACTGAAGCCAGTTATTGTCTTGGAGTTCGATCAATGAAGCTTTTTGATATGATGTTTATGTGATACTTGATATGTATTAAAATTTTATTTTATTCATTCTTAAATATATTATATGATCCTAAAATGTACTGTATTATAATACAGTACTTGTATTTTTTTATTTTTTACTGTATGCTATCCATTACCTCTTGAAAAAGTGCAAAATACCTCCCTAAGGGTAATATAATGTACCTCAGGTTGAAATTCCATTAATTAGAGGCACAACTTTTTTAATAAAACAATAAATTATACTTAACTTCCATATTTGCATGAATGTTTTGAATATTTTTGTTTAGTTCAGTACTGTATAAAAGTAATTAGGGGACCAGACCAGTGTGATTATTATTTAACAATTAGTGAAAACATTCACTGATGTGGGATTGCTGGATTGTTGCAAGCAATGGTTAAACATACAGTGTCATGTACATGGGATCACTTGATTGTTGCAAGCAATGG